GTCACAAACAAACAGCAAGTAACTCGAAAGTGCTTTTCCATTACGACAAGCCCACTTCAAAGATGTAGCAGAGAGCATAACAACTGGTGGTTGAACACCCTCGCCAAACCACACATCTTTAACGCCACCATACTCCACCGAGATACGCTTAATGCTCCACTTTATCTTTGGATCCACCTTCACCAACCATGGCATCCCAAGAATGAGATCCACACGATGAATATCCGTGAGATAAAAAGTCTCCACAAGTGTGGTTTTGCCAACCAACACTTCTAGCCCCTCGACACAAGCATCGAAATGTTGAGTAGAGGTGGCTGCACCTTCCACTGTGTATGGAAGAATGCCACATGTGACCAGGCCATGCTCCGCAACAAACTTTGCCGAAACAAAGTTGTCATCGCTCCCACTATCCAGTAAAATCCGCACTGGATCTCCACGGAACACGCCCTCCAGCATTAAAGCTGATTCACGCGTATCCTCGAGCTCCATCTTGTTCCACACACAGTTGAGCTGACGAGCAACGATCAAAAGTTGCTTCCTCCGACCAGAATGGTCGTTCTCCTCATCCTCACGTTGCAAAGTTTGCAACTTTTTAGTATCGGACTTACCGTGAGAAGAAGATTGGCCATTCTTCTTGTCCTACTGCTTGTTCTTCAACTGCAGACAATCAGCCTTGTAGTGTCCAAGTTCGCCACAATGATGACAACCTTGTCTATAATTCTTCACAAAGAACTTCTGCTTCTTGGACCCCTTTGCATCTAAAGTAGTCACCACCGACTTCAACTTGTGATGCTTGTTCCCATCCTTGTGTCCACGACGATCATCATGATGATTCTCAACAGAAGGACTCCACAAACGCTTGCGAGACTTGTGCTTGTCATTGTCAAGTCGACGAGCTGCATCAAAGAGCTCCTCCAAACTCTTTGTAGGCTGAGAATGACGCAAGTGTTGCTGCATGCTCTCACTATATAGGCCATCAATGAAGTAGGACTTGTTCTAATCTTGATCCTTCGTTGGAACACGACTAATCAAGTGAGTAAGCTTCTCAATATAGTCCCCGAGCGTCATTTTCCCTTGCTGGAAATGTCAAAGTTCTGTACGAGCATTCTCCACGTCGTAATGAGGGGCAAAACGTAAACGGAAAGCAGCCTCAAACTCATCTATGGTAGACACTGGTGGTTTCTTATCCGCAACACGGGACTCCTCAAGCCAATTCCACCATCAAAGACCCGCATCACGCAAAACCATCGGAATAGCCACTAAAGCCTTTGCATCCGGAGTTCCCCTAGCAGCCAAGAACTTCTTCACATTGGCTAGCCAAGCGAGACACTCATCCACACCACCATCACTTGGAGCGCTACCCCGTCCAGCCTCGAGTGCCTCAACACGCCCACGCATGGTATCCATCATGCCATGCATCTCGTCTTGCATCTCTTGCAGATTTTTATTAAGGGCTCACAGCTCATGAACCACATCTTGAATGGTCCAAATTTCTGCAGCTTCGTCGGCACCATCGTCGGCACCACCATTGACAATAGGATTTCAGCGTTCAGCTTGGTCGGCCATCGCAACCAATGTCTCTGATACCAATGTTATGATCCGGCACAAAAAGACAGAGATTTAGTCGCCCTAGACTATGCTACGCCACCTCTTGAGGTTCCTCACCACCCAACCACCCCCGAGCTACCTCAAAAGCTCCACTGTGCCGCCGCTCCACCGTGAGCCCTAGGGTAGGTTAAGTCCCCTACCCTAACATGCCTTAATATACCTTTGAGCCTCCCTTTGACCGACGTTGACCATGTAGTCAAAGTTGGCGCCTAACAAGAGCAGTGTAGTGAAGTAGTAGTCGTGGAAGGAGGAATTTTTTTGGCTGGGGTGATTCTTTGGAGCCACGAGTGAAGTGAGGAAGCAAGATAAATTAAATGATCAAACAATATAATTCAGGAACTAAATTCTATAAAACAATAAAATTTAATATGAAATCCGTAAAATATAACATAGAATATAAATAGAATAAAATAGAGTAATAAACTACAACATATGCAACATATACTCTTTAATAATAAATTTCAAGTGATGATTGAAGCGCATGTGGTTTTTACCCTTTATCCTATGGTGATTTACCATAGGATAACACCATGAAGCGGAACCTAAACCCTCTTTGTGCCACGTGATAGATGCCACATGTCACATGCCACGTGTCCAAATGAACATGGTGTGGAACCCAAGTTTCAGGGCCTTGGGCCACTAAACGAAGGAACGGTGCCAAACTCCCAAGCATGGAGCCAAGGAGTGATAGAACTGGACTACGGAGCAACTCTTGAGCATACAGCCCAAGGAGCAAAGGGACAAGAGCTTGGAGCAACTTGAAACAGTCTTAGAGCAATGAACATCCTATGGTGCTAGATTGCAAATTTGGACATGGGACAAACACCATTGTGTTCAGGACAATTTCTGCATTCCATAGATATGCCAAATGAGAAAATCTAGACACTTTCCATAAATAGCATTTGGGATTGGAATGAGATTAACACAAAAGGCATGATAGTGAGGGTATTTGGTAGACACAGTAAGCCATCATCTAGCGATATTAAGGGACCAAACTCAATATCATGGGGGTTCCCAACACTAGTAAGTGCATGTCAATGAATGAGTTTCTCTAACTAGGTCAAGTATGCTTGACTAAATAGGCATTTAGGAATTCTTTCATTATGCTCATTTGGTCAAGTGCACACGTGAGGACTAGTTTCTCAACTAGCTTAGGCGGAGATTGATAACAGGTCCAGCAATACTGACCTCTTGCTGTCGTGGTAGTAAGGAAAGAGTGTCTGTTAAGTTATCATCCGATAAACTAGTATTATAGCATAGAAACCACCAAGATCATCATGTTTGGAAAACATAAGATTCACTATCCAACAAAATTCAATAGCTAGCATATCATCAAGGAAACTTAATGATGAAACTTAACTACCGAAGATTGCAGATAGAATGCCAACTCAAAGAACACAAAGTATCATTAATTGACAAGTAGAATACTTGTGAATATATCACCCAAAGGAAATAACATCTAAATCTATCAAAACTAATTTGAGCAACAGTCAACAGAATAGATTGAATGTGGTAAGACTGACAAATACTCATTCATGTCAATTATCGTACTAGTCAATCTGAATAGATTCCAGTCAACAATACCAAGGAACCAAAGTTGCTCAAGCAAGCATCGACAACATCCTAATGATATCTCAAACCCAAGAGATCAATCCAGAGCAAACCACAAAGAACATATGGTATTGCAAAAAGCCACAAGCCATCAAAGAGAACAACTAACTATCATGAAAGAACATCAATCATCCCACCAATGAAGAAATGCATAATCATCATTGAAGAAAAAATCTACCATCCCGAAGAACAACAACTCATTCTATACCAACAATTATCATTTGACAAGGATAATCAACTATCCTAAATGATAGTCAATCATCACCAATGATTGCCAGATGCAAAAGCCAACTTCAATATCGAAGCTAATGAGCCAAAATTGCTTTCCCTAACAACTTCTAACAAATGGACCATAAGTATGAAAACTCAAGGAACCAAAAGCTCAAAGAAGCCTACAGCTAAGTCTTGCCTAATAATGATCATAGGTCTCACATGAATTAACTTCAATGCTAAAGAAGAAATCATGGTACAACCCATAATAACCTCCTCAACACATCCATGAGCTAAGTTTCATAATGCTAGAGCTAATGAAGAGCATGTTTGCATTAATCTAAAAGCTAAACATAACGAAGCTATTCTCAACAAGTGATCACCAAACTATCCTCCATGAATCCATTTATAGTAAGACATAACTCAATTAATAACAAGCAACAAACAAGAAAAATCATCAATGATCAATATATTCCAACTCAAATCCAACAAAGATTCAAATATTTCAATATCAATCACTAACTCTTCATCTCGTAAAGCTAATATAGTCCATGACTAAATCACTTTTTTAAGGAAAAGCCAAGCCTCAATCCTTACTAGATAATCTTCTCTAGAACGCAACTAACTCAAATTTGCCACTCAATTTGTTTTAACATCAATACAGTTAACTAGCAATTGTATAAATGCTAATAACATAAAGTTATAGCCAAATCATCAACACTATCTTTATCAAGACTAATGAAATTCAATGTCAATCTTAAGAAGAGACATCTCATTTCACTCGAATCTTAACATCAACAACATCAATAACAGGCTGTGTTACGAACACGGCCGGGATCCCGGCCGTGTTCACCGTGTTTCACGAACACGGCCATGGGTCGTGTTCCCACGGCCGTGTTCGTGAACAGTGGTCCGTGTTACTAACACGGACCACTGTTCAGAATATTCTCGCGCGGAATATTCTGGTTTTAGGGCGCATGGCATCACACGACAATCCAGCCAGGGCGCACCATTTCAGGGCACAGCAGCAGCAATCCAAGGCAAACAAGCATGGCGCAGCAATCCAGCAAACTGCGAAAGCATCCTTCTTCGCGATGGTGGGATGAGGTAAGTGTTCTTGAGAGCAGGGGGCATGGCCACAAATTATGGTCATGCAAATACTGCCCAATGGTGAACAAACTGAGTGGTGTTGATCGTGTGCGAGCTCATCTGTTAGGAGAAGGCCCAGGCAGCAAGGATATTGTGAGTTGTCCTCTCATCCCAGGTAACAAGAAAGCGGATCTGCTCAATATGCAAAAGGTTATTGATTCCGAGAAAGGGGCAAGGGGGAAGAAACGGCCGAATGAATCTGGTGGTGCTTCTATGAGAATGGATGGCAATGTCCAAGGATTTCCACCGGTGGTATCATCCCAGTCAAGTGGAAGTGGCTGCAGTTCCCTGTTTTTTAGCAAACAGAGTCAAGTCCATATTGTTGATTCGATGGATCCTAAGCGGAAGAACCGAGTTGATGTGGATTTTTCTGGAATGAACACATTCCATTTGTCAAGGCTCGGTCACCTTACTTCCTCAACATGATACAGGAAGTTGCCAGGCATGGTGTGCCTTATGCACCACCAAAATATGATGATCTCCGGGATAAGCTTTTGGTGAAAGAGAAACGATTCATTGACATTGAGATGGCGTCCTTGAGGAAGCAGTGGGAGCAGAGGGGTGCAACCATATGCGCAGACGGGTGGGCAGATAGGAGGAATCGGCATATCATGGGGCTTGTGGCATATAGTCAAGGACGAGGAGCTTTTTTGAAGGCTATCGACATTTCCTTAACAGGAAAAACAGCTGAAAATACTCTGCGCTGCTGGGAAGAAGGCATTAACATTGTAGGTGCAGAGAACGTTGTTATGGTTGTGACCAATGGGGAAAATGCAAACAGAGCAGCAGCAGCACTTTTGCAACAGAGGTACCCAAAAATTCAATGGGCAGCATGTTTTGCCCATTGCTTGAACAATGCCTTGAAAGACTTCGGTGTACTTCCATGGATGGCAACACTTCTGGAGCGTGGAAAGTCTTTGGTGATCTTCGTTAGAAACCACTCTCATATAGTGGCACTGCTGGCGGAGTTTACTCACAAGCGATTGCTGCGTTATTGTGATACCAGGTTCGGCTACAACTTCATTATGATGGAGAGGCTGGTGGAGCTCCGAGAAGCTTTACAACAGATGTTCGTATGCCCTGCGTATAGAGCAAGGCCTGAGTCGAAGTCGAGAGCAGGAAGGGACAGTTATGCAACGGTTTTTGATGACAGTTTCTGGCAACAGGTTAAGGACATGCTAGAGGTGTCCAAGGATGTTATGCTGCTTCTTCGTGTTGTGGACGGTGATATACCTGCGATTGGAAAGATATATGAGTGCATGAACAGGTTGGATGCAAGTTTAGAGGAAGGACAGTCGGATTATGGCAGGTACAGGGAACTTCATCAGATCATGTCTAATAGGTGGCATGAGTATCACTCGCTCATGCACTCGGTGGCATACATGTTGGACCCCGAGTTTCAGGAGTATGAAAAGCATGCTAACAGAGAGGTCATGAAGGACTGGAATGCTTATCTGCTGGCCATGTTTACATCCAGTGAGAGGGATGTGATACGTGATGAGCTTTTAACTTACCGGAGGATAGGAGGCATTTTCAACTCATATGATGCTAAGGCTGATCGCACTAAGAGGGGAGATGTACGTTGGTGGGAGGACTATGGTTATGAAACTCTAGCTCTTCAGAAGTTGGCCATTCGAGTTCTAAGTCAGGCATGCTCGTCGTCCTCGGTGGAGAGATTGTTCAGTACTTTCGAGCATGTTTCTTCAAAAAAGAGGAACAGACTTACCATGGACAGGACAGCGGATCTGGTTTTTGTGGCTTGCAACACCAGGTTGTTAACCTACAAAAATGATCGTGATTACGACAAGTTTGTAAGCTACAAAGTCCTGGAGACAGTTCCTCATCCTGAAGACGAGCTTGAGTCAGGACAGGAAGAGGAAGATGGAGATGATGTCGAAGATCGTGAGGTCGAAGATCATGAGGTTGAAGATGACGATGAGATGCAGGATATTTGAGTAGTTTAAAAGTGTGAAGTAGTTTATGTGCAAATAAAAATATTAAGAATAATATAATAAAATATAGCATATTCCTATAATAATATAATAAGAAATAGAATATAATTTTTAAATAACATATTCTTAGAATATTCAGTAGAATATTTGTGAGCCATCGTGGGCCGTGATCGTGTTCCGTGTTCGGTTTCCTGAAATCTGAGGCTCGTGTTCGTGTTCCGTGTTCGTGTTCGTAACTATGATAACAGGGCATCACTTCAATGCCATTAACATTAGAACAAAGCTAAAAGAAAGCAAGAGTGAATCACCACTCAAAGCTCTCTAACAACTAAGCTAACCAAAATCGAAGATACTATATTTAGTATCCGAGACCAATCTTTCAATATTACTCAAGTATAGATAATACATCATCAAAGAGTGATTCACCACATCCAAAACTTAATAAAATCTAATATCACAAACTAAATGCAACCAAATGATATTAACAGAGGTAGAATCGATATACCAACATGGAAAAACCATGTAAGTCTAATGACACAATCCTTCGCAACACCATCCAGTAAAGCAAGCCAATTATTGCTAAATTATCATCGAGCGAAACAAATGTCAAACAGTCCTTGACAAAGTCTACAAGCAATCATTAGTTGTCAAGCAACGAACAATCACTCTTTCAACTTGCCTTCACAAGACCCAAACACTAAACTCATGTCATTGAGTCATACACTTGTCCAACATGAGTATAATATCCCAAGCATGAGATAAAGGTTCATGGACAAGCATAAACTACATAACCACTTGAATCCAATTCAACCGCAATAAGCTCACTAATGCATTTAGTCTATAACTCTGAGCATGCTTTGAAGAGCCTAGCTATACATGATTAACACTTAGTCGAAACTAAAGTGAAGACCATGAGATGGACTCATATTGGTACAAAACTTCCTCATAGACAAAGTTATAATACAGGTATCAACATCTCAACCTCAAACAATTAAGTTGGACATCACTATCCTCAACCAAGGTGTAAGGCTACCAAGACCAAATCAAGATTAGTGAGAGCTCACTACTCTTATAGAGTCTAAAAAACTGCAAGGTGCAACCTACCACCAAGCATAACGCTATAGAAGAAAGGCATAAAGGTCACCTTTCTAGAAAAGTGCAACGGCCACTTTTCTACATCAACTCCAAACTCTATTTAACTCAATTGCCTTAGCCTCAAAAGTTAACATCCTTTTTCAGGTCGCATCATACAAACTACTTACTAAAGTTTAAGTTAACCGAAGTCAACTCCAACCCTTTCATCAGTTTGTATTGGCTTACAAAAATGGAATGGTTTTTGAGTAAAGTGACTGATAGATCAGACAATGGAAAAGTCTAAGAAAATTTGTGAAATTTTTTTCCCATCCTAGAGAAAAAATGACTCTCAGTCTAGGAATGCAAATTTTCAAGACTCAACCAACTTCTTCCTACAAACAACTTCACATAGTTTCACCTCAACTCAAATTCTCATGATCCAACAATATGCTTAAGTATTAAATATCTTTGCCCATTTTTCAATATCCAACACTGATATCCGCAAAATGCAAAGTGAACATCCAAGGCTTGATCACGAAGACCACATCTTTGGATATCCACATTGCACTAACACTTTTCTTCAACCACCTTCAAGATCCAATGTGAAGCCAAAACACTAACAAAAAAATGACATGGAAAATCAAGCTCTAAGGAAAATTCCTCATCACTCGAATAATAATGCTACTTCCACTAACACAAATGCCAGCGATATCAATGCCTCAACTACACATCTTCTCTATCCAATAATTTACTCTAAGTGCTAACGAATAAACCAACAAGCCATAACAAGTGAATGCTATAACCCTTTCCAACATCTTAACGGGCAAACTCAAGGAAACAAGGTACCAATTTAAGCTTAGCATAATGGACCACCATCGAGAATCCAGTCAAAGCTACTACAATGCTGCTATTTGCAAGTAGACTAGCTTCTCCATTAACCACTTTGGGGTTGATCATTGTTTAACCAAGCAACTTTGTAAACACATTACTCACTATCACTTGGATATGATATAAGTATCACAATGACTTGATCATCAATTAAGCAACACCACAAGCAATGCTTATATCACTACTTCAAAGGTTTATGTTAGTATCAAGTGCCAACTCGATTTGACAAAATGCAACATAAATGCCACACTCCACTGATAGAGATTTACAACACCCAATACCATTAACTTTTGTTCACAACACGGATACGCTCATGCCACTCTCTTTCTGACCAAACTCAAAAATAATCCATGAGACTTTTCGGTCTTCTCCTGCGTCTCATGTGGTGGAGCAAAGGTCAACTGGCGGTCAATAACACTTCTGAAGCACGAAGGGGGCCTCAATATTATTGACACCAAAGAACAATGCAAGGCTCTCTTCTTCAAGATTTTCAAGAGGATGCTCATGCCTAGCAACCAACCATGGAGAACACTGCTGTGAGCACAACTTTTGAAAGTCCTCCCGGACAAGAACAAGTACACTAGACAAAACTAGGTGACAGATGAACAATGGCTCTTCTCGGACACCAAACTCAAACTGACAAAGGCTCACACGTTCTCAGGAAAGCTGTTCAAGCTCTGGAGGCAATTCAAATGCAAGCTGGAATGTAAACCATCTCGTACCAAAGAAAAACTGGACTGGCAGCCAATTTTCCTGAGCAAACTCTTCGCTGTCAATGGTAAAATGCTCGGAGCTTTCGAGGATTGTGGCCTGGACCAGACATGCAGAGACCTGCACAGAGCAGGGATGAGAACCTTCGCAGAGGTAGACACCATGATCCAGCCCAACCAGACGGCCAACAACTGTGACCAAATCAGTGCCTTCTACAGATTAACCATCTCGGAACACAGGATGCGTAAATTCCAAACAGCCTTTTTAGGCCAAACACACATGCCTTGAATGACTAAACCTACAAGAAGACCAATACCATCGATGGTGGAAGGTGGACGAGTCAATTGTATGCACCCTCCCCAACATGGCATCAGGACTAATCTTTGAGGCAGGACAGGCTGGATGCTTGTACCCCATCATCACCCCTGAGTACGAGGACCTCCCCGATATGAGCAAAGCTAAACCGATCAAAGTGATTCAAATGGAGAAAAAAACTGCCAACGTTGATCCATTGATCCCAGAAAAACAATATGCTCACCTCTACTAGTTCCACCAACAAACCTTGGATGAACTCAAGTGGGATCCCACAGAGTGGCATTGGAGAGGAACCATGTGCAAGGACTTCTTTCAGTATGAGACCAAGCTGGGCCGAAAACTGATCAAGGTGCTGACTCGATCCTCCCTCATCCGGAAAGCAAAGGCCCAACAAATCCACTCCAGGAACCACTCATACTGCATCAACAAGATCTGGAAGGGGCGCTGGTCAGCTAAGAACCGCTACTTCATGTGGCTGGCCCAACAAGAACGTCTTCCCTCTCTGGCGGCCATATATCTCCCGAACACAGCCTACAAGACCTGTGGCACCATAGAAACACAGCAACACATCTTATGGGAATGTCCGGCAGCACAGGAACTATGGGAAGGTGCAGCAGTAGTACTCAAATGAACGTCAACCGGAGGAGCTGCAATCACATACGAATCTATGCTTTGGGGTAACCTCATACAGGGAAAAACAAAGAATCCTGATGCATGGAAGGGGAGACACAGAGAGGCCCCACACTTTGATCAACTCAACCAAACTCGGACACACATTAAGCATCTCCACTAGAAGCTCTTCGATGCGCTTCAGGGATGCACACTAGCAAAGATATGGAAGGCTCGGTGCGCCAGGCTGTTTGATGACACGGACCCCTCAGCTCAAGCAACTATCTCAAAGGTTTGGTATGGATTGATTGTCTCACTCATGGCCCGCTTGGACACGCTGATCAAACAAGGCAAGGAAGGGAAGATAGCGAAGGAGAAGAAGCTGTGGCCGTTTTTTAGAGGAAGAAGCGGGGCTGGAGAAGAAGAATGGACGTGGAAACCACCAATATGGATTTGGCAGCACATGTTCAGGAACGACAGTACATGTACCTCCCCGAGTCGACAGAGTTCAACACCAGGAACTTCGGAAGCTTGGAGATTAGACGTCACGGACTCGATTACCAATTCTACTTTGTCCCCCTTGTCCCACCCCCCCTAAAAATCTTGAAGAGCTCTTTCCTAGTTTCGAGCAGGTCAAAATTGGACTCTATGGTTTATAGAGGATAAATTAAAACCCCATTGACAACACGGACAAATTTATGCCACTCTCTTTTTAACCAAACTCAAAACCAAACTCCAACACTAAACTACTCAAGGAGCAATAGCAAGGTTCCCCAGAAAAGAATTGAGAATTGCTATCTAAGTCTTCAATAGCAAGCTTAGACAAAATGGTTTAGTGTTTCATCACTCACTATTTACAAGACCGTTATTTCCAACATGCATCAAGGTAGGGATTCTTGATTGCATGATGTGAACATGAGCAATGAGTCACACCTCGTCGCAAATCATCTCTCCAAGAAGAAAAAATGATTTACATGTTTGATCTTTCATCCCTGATAACTCTCTTTTCGGTCTCATCTTTTGACTAAACCTCAAGCTTGCTTTCGCATTGCCTTCAGTTCGATCCAAGAAAATTTTATGAGAGCACACCGCAATGACTAGTTGAATCAATAGACTAATCCCTATAGTCTTGATTGATCCACTTATAATCACACTTAGGAAGGATCCACTAGTGCCATGCTAAACAGCTACGGACTAGTATATTTGTCACTTATAGCAAATCCAAGGGAGGTTTATTTCTACCTATGGTACAAAGAACAACCTATGGAACCACTAGAATAATTCATGGCAATTAGGCTAGTCACTCATAGCAAACCCAGGGAAGGTTTGCTTTAACTCATGGTACATGGAACAACTCATAGAATCACCAAAACAATTCATGGAACCACCGATATGCCAACATTAAT